ACTTTTGAATAAATTTTTGTTGACTTAGAGCGTTTTGTGTAATGCGTTGTATTGTAACAGCACTTGGAAGAATCACTGCACCTGGCCAATCGTCCTTATCATTGGGCGATTGATAAAACACATGTCCATTCTTTTCAAACCTTCATGTCAGAGGTCAACGCTTCCGCCCATGGGCTGTTGACAGTGACATTTTCTGAGTACTGCATATGGAACACGTTGAAAGGGACAGGAAATCTTCTGACCTTGCAGGGGATGCTATACGATCGGTGGTGGTGGCTAAGCTGATCACATCGATTTGATGGGACGCGGATTCGCAGGCTTAAGTCCATTACGCGAGTCAAAACATTCCAATTTAAGCGATTTCTGGTTGCAATTTGCAACCAGAAAATTTGCTTCCATTAGAACACTTAATTGTGCTATTTGAAATAATTAGAAAATATAAAATAGTTACGTCCTGTAATCAGTCATTGATTTGTTATTGTTTAACCCACGAGCCGCTGGGGGGGGGGCATAAAGTTGCCCCCCCTTTACTTTTTGCGGAATATCTCCAAAACCTGATGAGCAACGAACGTGAAACTTGGCATAGCTCAGGGGCCCGGGAACGATTTTCAAGTTGGGGGGGGGGGGGGGGGCGAGTCTAAAATACCTGACATGATGCATATGAAACAGTGGCGTAGCTAGGGGTCTAAGGGGACACGTACCCCCCCCCCCCATCGGGTTCAAAGGGACCCTGGGGCCGATGGGCCCTGCGGCGCCATTTGACCGCTGAGGGCTAACGATTGCCATATTTCGACTTAGAAGCACCTCACGGGCCCCAAATAGCCACACTAAGATCTCCATAAGTGCCCCACGCTGGCTTCTGAGGGCCTCTTATGGCCTTTAAGGGCCCCTCGGTGGTCTCCAAAAGCCCGTTACTGGCCTCTTGAGAGTTCTTACTGGCCTATGAGGGGCCACTTCTAGGGGCATTTCCCGCATGTGATGTTCCCGCACTTATTTTTCTGAGGGCCCCATAAATCATAATGGCAACTGTGGGGCCCTCATCGGCGCCTATGAGAGCCCACGGCCACATCGGTGTCTCTTAGGGTTTCACACCCCCAACTCTGAGTGCCTACACCAGTGCCTAAAAGCCCTATATCGGCGGCTCCGAGGACCCCACCAACACCTGCGCATCTAAAGGCCATCCACTGGTGACTTTTGAGGGCCCCACACCGGTGACTCTGAGGGCCCCATCGGCGTCTGACAGTACCCTGCCGGTCTCTAAGGACTTCACAGGACTTCTTCTGTCGGCCTAAGGGTCGCTTGCCGGTCACTGAGACCCCCTGCCGGCTTGTAGAGAGCTCGCGTCAGCAGCTCTAAAGGCCCCACACCCGTCTGTAACGGCTTCACACCAGCGTCTATGAGGGCCTACAGCAATTACGCCTGTACGTAAGGACCCTCACCGGCGCCTCTGGGAGAATCACACTAACACCTACGAGTGCCCACACCGGCACCTGCATGACGGCCCCACACCAGTGCCTCTAAACTCTAAGGGTCCCTTACCGCCGGCTCTGAGGACCTTGCGCCGGTTATTCTGAGGGTGCTACCGATAACCGAAGGCACCACACAAGCCCTTGGTGTCGCTGAGCTTTAATCCCATACCGGCCCTCCGAGGGCGCCACGTCGGTGCACTCATTGCCCAACACCCAGAGCGAGTAAACTGTGTTATACCTATAGCAACGATTTTACCACCGTTGTATGTACGTTATGTATTTCTCAAAGTTGACCCGAAATGGTCCATTATAAAATCTGGCCTGCCAAACATATGGCCAAGGTCAGGCCCAAACCAAAGCGGGATGACAATAGCAGATGTTGTCAAATCGATAATGTACCAATCAGCAGAAAGCATTCAGATGGCAAGGAAAATGCCGTGTGTTGATGTTTAGATGTATAAAGGAAACAAGAAGGAAAGAAGTCCGGAAAAGGGAGGAAAGATCCTTTCTCGCTGCCTCAATATTGAGGGGGCGCCGCCCCCTCGGCTCCCAAGTTGGGGGGGCAAGCGCCCCCGCTGCCCCCCCTGTTCCCGGGTCTATGGGCCATAGCTTCAAATGAATACCTGGGCAATGCTTGAGCAGAATTTGGTGGTTGTAGCATTTAAGATGACGTCACAGTGACGTCATAAAACATTGTCGTTTTCCGATACGGACAGTTTCTAATGTCGCTGAGCATGAAACTCAACTGTAAATGAACTAGACAGCACCTGCTGTCATCCTAAAACATCAAAGTACACTTCCATCTAGTTCCTGACGAACAATCGGCCTTTTATATTCGGTCCCATATATCTGATATACCGTGAGGAAACTGAGAGTCGCAAATCTATAATTTGACTTATGACGTCACTGCGACGTCATTTCAAATGAGATCGACACGAAATTTGGACACACCCTCGGCTAGGTATTCAGAAAGATGTGTGCAAAGTTTCGCTTCTCTATCTCGTCGCGTTGCGACGATATCGTAGCAGAAGTAAAGGGGGGGGGGCAACTACATATGCCCCCCCCCCCCAGCGCGGCGGCCGGCGGGTGGCGCGGAGGCCCAGCGGCCGCCGTGTAGTCCGCAATAGAAAGAAGATTGATCAAGACAAGACAGACTCAAAACGCTCAAAAATTCTGGCAAAATTCCAGAGCTGGGCAAGTGCGTTCCTTTAGTGCGTTCCTGCGTTCTTCCGTACGTACGCACCGCCCTTTTTAGGAACGCAAGAACGCAGGAACGCAAAGTTTTTCAAAGGAACGCAAGTAAGAGGAACGCACCACCCGAAATTTTGAAGCGTTCCTGCGTTCTTGCGGAACCACCCGAAAAATTATATTGCTGCCAATGAGCTCTGCGTCAAATGTTTGAATCTCGAGTACGTGTGTTTGCCGGTAGAGGCGCCACTTGTCAGTCGAATCGAGGAAGGCTTGCTTAGATTTAGTGGTGATGTTTACTATTCGATTCGGTTTCAGGCATTAAAGATTTTTAGTGGTGATGTTTACTATTCGATTCAGTTTCAGGCATTAAATGTGTAAAGTAAATATGATAACTTTTACTAAGATACATCTTTTAACTAAACTATTGTTTTTAAGCAGGTCGTATTTTTGTTGAAAACCCTACGGATGATATTGGTAAAACGTATTTCAGATATTCGATTCGGAAAAGAGATGTCGAGTTGCTTTTCGGCCCCACGTCGCCATTCTGGGTATTCTGTGATCGATTCACCCCGTGTTTGGTTGGGCCCGCGCCGCGTGGTTCGGCGGTATTTTTGAGGGAGGAACGCAGGAACGCAGGAACGCTAACGCACCGAACGAAAAAAATTGAGGAACGCTATTCCAGGAACGCACTAACCGCGGCCGGAGGAACGCAGGAACGCTAACGCACTACCGAAAATCGAGGAACGCGCCCAGCTCTGCAAAATTCGTTCCAACTTCCAACTCTCCTTGTAAAAATGCAAGTGGCAAACCGCGAATGTCTGCGGCACCATGTTCGTTGAGCGCACCGCGTGATATTATGACCACAAATGATGCGAGGGTTTCGCGGAGCCTCCGTAATCCAATACCGGTTCCGCCCCCCGAGCACTGCACGTGTCTCCGTCGCAGCAATCTCGTCACACTCCGTCGCAGCAATCTGGTCACACTCCGTAAACACCGTGTCCGTGAGCCCGTGACCGTGGAGCCAACACCGGGCCGGGAGCCGCTGGTGATCTCTTGGTGCTCACAGACTGTGATGGTGATGAAATGGGTGGTCTGATGACTACCAGACTTGACAGCGTGAAAAGCAGACCTGCAGGCCCGTCTTGTCCGATATGCAATCATCGCTCAGGCGTGATTGGAGACATGAGGCTGTTACATTGTGCGGAGGTATGCTGCAGTTGAGCATAGTCCGTGATGGTGTGACGACATCCTTCCGACACTTGCATAAGATTGCTTTGGAAAATGATATGTCAGAAATCCATAAAGATTATAGGGCCTATAGGCTGGCTTTCGAAATATTCCCGGGGCAGAGCCACCACTCATGTAGGTTGAAATGTACTGACGCAAGCTATACAGCACATTTATCGAGATGAACGCGTCTTGGCATCCATGGGAAATCCCTTCAACGCCAACAATGACATGACCGGGATGAGAGATCAGAAGTCACAACATTCCGTTTCACTTGCGCAGTTTTCCCGTTAGGATCATAGGCGGCGGAACGGGGAGGGTGCATCGGGGCACCGTGCCCCCCTTTGATTTTGGCATTTTAACATTAGCCCTATGGGCGTTGCATGGAAAGAATGGGACCAAAAGTAGGCAGTGCCCCCCCCCCCCTTAATTAAAGGTGTTCCGCCGCTACTGGTTAGGGTTGAGTGTGAGCTGGAATTTGTTCCTTGTTACTGGAATGGAGTGTCTTCGTTAAACATCAACGTTTTACTTCAGACCTCTGTAGGCAGAGGTGTAGGTACAGAACTCTATGGTTAATGGTTATGCCTGCGATAGTTATGTTGACAAGAATTTTTTTTTACCTTCATGCTAGGTGTGGAAATGCCTATAGGTAAAATAGAATTATTTATGTCGGAATATATTTATTATGTCTGGAGTCGGAACTGGAGTCGGAGTCGGGCTCGGAGTCGATTTTTGAAGCCGCAGTCTGAATCAGAGTCGGAGTCACCTTAAAATCCATCGACTCCGCAGCCCTATATGTATAGGTAAAACCATATTCCACACTTTAGACAGAATTGCCTACCTAAAATTCCAACTCGGCATTCAGCACAAAAGCGATGACGATCAATAACCATTAGCATGCCCCTGCCTCCATGAGGTACCGACCAACCACCACTGACCACTCACATATGACCATTAGCCTCCGTCCCTCGAGGAAATAACAATGACATTCCCACCACCTGCTCTTGCATCAGACTCAGATCAGTCACGTGACCCCCATCTATAAATAGTGGTGGGACGAGATGGCTTCCCCATTTCAGCTAGTACCCAGCCGCCCAGCCCAAAAGTACTCACCAGCTGACTGACCATGCTTCTTTTGCATTTCTTCGCCGTGAGGCGCTCTATCATGAATCGGTGGCGGCGCCGGTGATACACTATGGCGTCCTGCCTCTCTGACGGCACCCAACACCCCCGGTCACTCTGCCAGCGCTGGGCGGCAGACGCCGGTCACGCGCTCATAGCCCCAGGCGCGCACGCGCGGCCGGCCGGTATTCAGCGCAGACCTAGCGGCCGGCCGGCAGGCAGCCAACCACCCGCCTCCCACCGCGCCGGCCCGTTGGGGGATCGTGTGTCCGGGCAGACTGAACCCCCAGGGGCCTCCGCGCCGTGGCCGTGTCACCGGGTGAGTCTGTGACCCCGGGTCATGGCTCAGCCGTCAGGGTACGGGGAGGGGAGGATTTGATGAACGTCACTCGGAACACTAATGACACGTCGAAGGGGGTCCGGGGGACCTTTTCTGAGGAGGTGACTGGAGTTGACGTTGGCACGTCAGCCGGCATACCCGGCGCCGTGATGGAAGAGGTGCCGGAACACTCGGGATCTGTTTATCAGATGCCGTGTGGCTGTCCGCCGGCGATGGGTCAGTGTTGATTGAGGACACAATGGCGTGAATTTTCGCGGAGATGGGTGCTGAACCCCCCTGGCCTTCGCCGGGCCAGGGGGGTTGATGGATCCCCTTCCCCCTAAGGTTCTCCGCAAATAACGTAAAAACGGCGGCGCGTAGGTACCTATCGCCGCCAAATTCATAGTACGTTTTCAAATTATCTTGGCAACGGAATCGCTCAGTTTATCGTTTATCGTTAATAGCGTTAGAACTTAGAACCGTAAGGCTTAGGGCCACCAAATTTCAGACACAACTTAGGGCAGCCATTCGACACCTGTCGAGGAGTGTGTTCCAGTGACCTCGGGTCAGGTCACAAGGTCACAAAGACCGTTACATGGTCAAAATGGCACTGAAAATACGTTATTTTCTCAATGAAATCTATAAGTAGTTGTTTATCGATTTGATTCAAACTGCCAGGAGAAGCTGATCTCGCCGAGTTGTACAACCTTCATCCAGGTTTTTAAGTTCGGGTGACCTGCGGTCATCTAGAGGTCACGACAAATTTTAAGAAAATTTGTCTGAATAGCTCCAATCGTAAACAATATGCTCCATTTCAACATTTTGTGTTGTTTTAGCTCCATTTAAGATAAATTCGGTATTTGCTTGTTGAAAAAGGTCATCTGAGGTCAAATGAGGTCAAACTACGTTTTTGCTAGCTTCGCACACAATGAGGCTAGAGCTTCAAAAATGGTGTTATTGTGTTCCTTCATTCCTTGTGATCAGCCGCTGAATCGAATGACATGTGATATGATGCAATTTGGTTAACCCGCGCCCCGTTGGGCTCTGCCGAGCAACGCGCCCGGTTGGGGGGGGGGGGCATTTTGCACCCCCCTAAGATCTCGAGAACCACGCAACCTAGCGACAAGCGGCAAACGGTGTTGGATAGCCCTATCAGGAAACTACCTCGTGACCCAATTTTATTGACCTAGGTCAAACCGATGACGTCACAGGTCAGGTCAAAGGTCCAATTTTCACCGTTTACAGGCATTTCAAGAAATGCGTTGTAAAATCGAGTAAAATGCATTTCATTGAAAAACATCGATGGAGAAATGTTCTTCAAACACATATTTTGCTACTTGAGGTCACTGATACCAGGTCAGGTCACAGAGGTCAGGTCACTGGGGGTCACAATATGAAAGTGTCGTGTGATACATTTTTTATGGTCCATTTTACATGACAAATGCGATTATGTGGGTCAGGCAGCCTTTGCGGCCAGCTTAGGTCTCGTTTTGGTCAAGGTCAGGTCAAGGTCAGGTCAAGGTCAGGTCAAATTAGGTCAAATTTCAAAGTTGATATTTTTGCATAAAATGGGTATCGTATCGATGCAGCCCGTCACGGGGAGCTCAATGGTGGTCTTTGTTTTGTCGTACGTGGTCTAGAATCGCTAAAAATTGAGTTCAAAAATTTGACGTCATCATTTTTGAACAGTTTTTTTCGCTATAACTTGGCCAAAAAACGAGATATCGATCTGAAATTTGGTATGTATATAGAAGAGTGCCGCAGGGACTATCACACATATCCCGGTTTTTCGAAATTCGGAGTTTTTGGTTTTTTTTAGTTTTTCTTAAAAAATCAATTTTTTGATTTTTTTGGGGTCAAAAACCCATAATTTTGAAAATCCGAGGTAGCAGTTTGTAGCACCGCTTTTTGTCTACCAGACCCTATAAAGAACTTTGAAATTGCTTGATAACTGTAGATTTGGTGAGCGTTTCAAGATTGCATGTTTTTTCCTCATTTTTGCTCGAACATGACCTCAGTTTGACCTCAATAACTCCTGACCTAAGGTGACCTAAGACTTGAAATTTGGCATGAAGGTGTCAAATTGATGCCCGGGAAAGTACTGAAAATTTGACGGCGCTGCGCGCCGCCGTTTTCTTGCTATTCAGGAAAAACCACAGGAGGGCCAAAATGGCCCCCCAACGGGGCGAGGGCTTGAACTTAAATAATCAATTTATGCTCACTTAAAAATTAGGAAAATTTTACATTCACTCTAAACTTGTAACAAAATAAGCCATTCGATGCGCACGGGCGTGCTGAGTTCACCGGTGCTTTTATTTTTGCTCTATCTTATTTAGATAAAAAGTTAGGTATAAGGGATAAACCTTTCACCTGTTTAAAGGAAAAGGGCCACCTTCGTGAAATATGAAGATATCGTTGTTTTTCATTTTGACATTATTATTTTTTCATTTTCTTTTTAAAACTGGTGCCAGAAGTGCACAATTCGCGAAAAAGTATTTAAAACTATTTAACATATTGGTACTATGTTGATACTCTCTACGGCACCTACTGTATGATGGCATACCGATGACGTCACACTCAAGCCAATCAGCGTTCAGAAGACAGACTCGTCGGATTGTGTCAGATAAGCTGATTGGTTAAAGCTGAGCTGGTTGGAGCTGATTGGTAAAAAACCAAAGCCTCGCCGCGGGTGGCTGTATTGTCGGATAAGAACGCATTCCTGGGATAAGGACGCATTCTTGTTGTATTTTCTTTTAAAATTGCCGATAACTACGAATTGAGGCCGAAATCGGCCGTAAGGAGGTAGACAGATAGGTTTTCGGACACGGGCTACAAGATGGCTATCTCAGTTTCAATCTCCATGTTAAAGGTGGCCCTTTTCCTTTAACCCTCGCCCGACCTATTGGTTTTCTATGTACGCGCCGGCCGAGGGGGGGGGGGGGGGCGGGTACGACCCATCCTCGCCGTTTCGCCCCTGGTGGAGCTATCGCGTCACGGAAAGAACGAGCGTGTGCGCCGTTACGAGACGCAGAGATTGGTACCCGATTTTAAGGTCCTAGGTCAATCGGTGACCTCTGAGGTGAGGTCAAGTGCCCCAAGGTACGGTTCAGTTTTTGGTGAATAACTTCGCAAAAAAAAGGCCGCAAAGCCGTGATTTTGGCAGCATCGTGTTTGCCTCGCTCAGGCGCGTCGAATGATATACTTTTTGTTCGGGTCAGGTCAATTTAGGGTGTTGACCTCAGGTCAAGGTCAGGTCAGCACCCCTTGGTCACGAAGTTGGTCGAAAGAGGTCATGTCGCATAGCATTCGATTCGGCAGGTCTTCCTGAGTCCATTGGTGGCTTTCCCGACTCGCTAGCTCAATTTGATCAAGAGTTATTGACGAAAAACTGATATGACCATGATGACGTCATAAATGACGTCACACAAGGTCAACATTGCAAAAGTGACGCATCTAACCTTGCAAGGAGTGCATCAAATCACGATTCTGTGTGCTTGAGATAGTTGGAGATCGTTCCCGGCGCCAGAATAGCAGTTTTTATTTTTCCCCATTGACTTATAATGGGGAGGTCACGAAAATGACCTAACCTCATATGACCTTTAAGAAAAATCCGAGATATACAAATTGTGAGACTCATAATGGATACTAGATCCTGCAAGTTTCATTTCCCTGTGACATCTCCTCTGGCCGTGAGGGCGTTGCGAAGTTGCTTTTTTCCAACATTTATTGACACATCATACAAATATGACACAAGTACATATATAATAATCGAGGGCTCTCAAGCCCAACAAGGACAGTCTCTGTCATGGCTTTTGACACGGAACAGCCGGCTTCCCGTCTAGGCAAACGAGCGCCCCAGGTTGAGACGCTTAAACCCGCAAACGCCTGCTTCTTCACAAGTTAAAAAATTCTTACCATATTTCGGGTAAAGCTTTTGACTGGATTGGCTCCTATCTGTCTGGGAGAGAGCAGAGGGTGGTGGTCGCGGGCAAGTGCTCCGAGTGGGTGCCAGTGACATCAGGCACCCCTGAAGGCGGACTGATCTCACCTTTACTTTTTTCGTGCTTTGTGAACGAACTGCCTTTAGTCCTGGATATAGAAACGCTGATGTTCGCTGACGATGTCAAAATTTACAGACGTATAGATTCGATGTCCGACGTGTCTCACGTTCAAACCGAGCTGGACAAGTTGTGTGATTGGTCGGAGAAGTGGGGGCTCTAGCTCAACCCTGCCAAATGTAAAGTGTTGACACTGACGCTGAGACGCGCCCCGGTGGCCGCGAGTTATGTGGTCGGAGGAACATTGTTAGAACGTGTCCAAGTCATGCGTGACCTAGGTGTGTTGCTGGACCAGAAGCTCACATTTGGAGAGCATGTAGACTATACTGTCCGCAAGGCCAACCGAGCGCTTGGGCTACTAATGCGTACGCTCCAGACAGGGAAGAAAGGCAAGCCATTCAAAACCGGGAACCAGCGCGCTCTGTTATCGACGTACTTTGCAAACGTTCGCTCCATCCTTGAGTTATATGGCAGTGTGGTGTGGGGAGGAGCAGCGGTGTCACACATCCAGAGAATTGAACGTGTGCAGGAAAAGTTTCTTGTCTGGCTCTGTGCTCGCTGTTGGGTGACTGGTGTTTCTTTAGGGTACCGAGACTTAGTTAAGCACTTCGGAGTGGACACTGTGACAGCTAGGATCCAGCGTTTTGATATTCTCTTCATCAGGGACATACATCGCCAGAGGATACGTTCATCGTTCCTTCTCGATGTGTTCCCTCTCTCAGTACCTGTTCGTCTGCTTAGGCATCAGAGTATGTTCGCGAGTTCCCTGGCGCGACCGCGTGTCAATACTGTGAAAACGTCCATCTTTAATCGCGCTCCCAGCAACTGCAACGCGTTCCTGGATGCAAACCGCGATGTGGATATATGGAGGAGCAGCGCCGGCGAATTCAGAAGTCGAGTGGCTGCCTATGTAGCGAGGGACAGCTGAGATGCA